CGTTAGCTTCTCCTAGTCCCTGGTAACCACCACGCTACTTTGTGTCTGTTTGGAATTTTGCCTGTAAATGGAAAATACTGCACAATATTGTCAACCCCCCCCCACATTAGAGTCTATATCAGTGCTTTTTTGCATTTCCATTGCCAAATAATATTTTGTACCATATCTGTTTCACATTTTGTTTGTCAATGAATAGATGAGTTGTTTCTACTTTGGAAATGTTATGCATAATTCTGCCTTAAACATTTTTGTGTACAAGTTTTTGTGTGGACATACATTTTCAAATTTCTTGGCATCTTATTATGTTTGGCTTATATTTACCTAATGACCAATGATAGTGTATATGTGTTTATTAGTCATTTTCATGTATTCTTTGTAGAGATATATAATACATTCTTGTTTTGTTTTTCAAGACGGATTTTTTTTTCTATGTAGCCCTGGCTGTCCTGGCACTTGCTCTATAGACCAGGCTGGCCTCGAACTTACAGAGATCCACCTGCTTCTGCCTCCTGAGTGCTGGGATTAAAGGTATGCGCCACCACCACCTGGTTGTCTTACATTCTTTGCTCACTAAAAACATGTGGGTATTTGTCTTTTTGTTGTTGAGTTATAACAGTTCTGTGTATGCTGTGGATAGTATGCCTGGGTTTTGTATGCAACAGGCCCTCAGTCTGTGTTTGCCCTCATTTTCAGGTTTCTCACAGAAATCTGTAAACTTCTAGGTGACCTCTAGGACTAATTTTCCTGACACTGAATCATCTTAAGCCTTCACCTTCTCTTCTTAGCTCAGAAGGCTCTTCTTAGCTCAGAGCCTGAGCCACTCTGGTCCTGGAGTGGGCTCTGGAATTCATAGCAGCAGGATAGCTGGAGTCTAGAGATGCTGATTGGCTGAATCCATTTAGGACTGCTGCTAGGCTTCAGTGTCTAGATGGAGGTGCTATAGCAATTGTACAGCTTTCTCCTGTTGTTGCAGCTGTGCCAGAATCTTCCATCCTGTGCTGTGGGCACCTAGATAACAGGGATAGGAATTACAAAGGATTGTGTATTTGGGGAAGATGACTTTTTTCCACGGTGTCCCTACAGATGTGAGTAATGTGATTTCTGAGAGTGATCTGGCAATTTTAATAAGTTGAATACAGAAACAGCTCAAGGAAAATCATGTGTTTTATTGAAGAGAGTTGTATGGGCAGGCCTCAAAAGTGCTGACACTGAATCCGTGTCCCAGTGTGTACTCTCTGCCTTGTGCCCTACTGGTTTTCGTCATCTCATCAGCTTCTCTTTCCACTCCCCATCTCTAACAGGCTCACCTTCCCCTTTTTGCCAGTGTGGATGTGGCTGTCTTTCCATATCCAGATGGGTCTCGCATTCTCCTGGGAATGCAATTCCCTTGACTCGTGTGACTAGAACTCTTCAGAGCTGCCAGGGGAAGGCGGCTGTGGTGACACAAAGGTCTGGCAAGTCCTCCTGGGCTGTGTTCCTGAGAGCCATCTCTCCTGCTTTGAGAAGGTGTGTCCCAAACTAAACACTTGGGCTTTCCTTAGTCACAGACTTGATTGGGTGTAGACAGATGTTGACGTCTCCTCCCAGTTCTTCTTAGTGCCTAGGAGATGTGTGTTGGAGGACAAGGCCAGCCCGGCTGGTGGGGAAGGACCTATGACTGCACAAGGCCATTGCAGCAATGGCTACCTTGGCATCTCTGAACATTTTGACCTGCTTCTACTTAGCTGATGTCCTAGAAAAACCTTCAGAATATTGCTTACTAATTAGAACTCTAAGTTGTAAACTTACTATTTTATAACTAGAAGATGGCCTCAGGATATCCAATCCATTATTTTCCAATCTTTTCTCCTGATTAAACATATTAAATATTTGGATATAGTTTAAAAGTTTGTCTTTGATAAACAAATTTGGGCCGTGGGGTATATTTGCATGACTCTTGGTGATCCACAGTGAGCACAGCCATATTAGCAGCTCCATGAAGTTCTACAGTAAAGACAGTAGCTTAATTTTATTTAACCTGGCATTTCATAAACTATTTGACTCCAGTTCCTTTTTCCCCCCCTAAGTGTCAGTACCCTGCAGGATACTAAGCACACTTAGGAAACCATATCTCCTTTACACACAAGGAAACTATGTTATATTTGGAAATATTAAGTGACTTGTTTAAAATCAAACTTGAAACTACATTTCTTAACTCCTACCCTTGATTATTCTATAGATTATTGTCATCATGTTTGAATATATAGCCATTATGTATGAATAAGGGAATAGGTTTTGTTTGTTATGTTTCTAGATAGTGTCTCATGTAGCCCAGGCTGGTCTTGAACTCCTGATCCTCACATATTAGTCTGGTAAGTGCTCGGATCTCAGTATGAGCCAGCTGAATTGTTTTTTTAAAAACTATTTTCTTTTGTATTGTTAATAACACACACAGGCATCAGAGTCAGACTGTGAAACATTGGAAGCCTGCCCCTGTCCTTTTGCCAGTTTACGACCTTGGGCAGCTAGGCCTGCTGGTATCCCTGAATATGCTTCTTCTGTGGAGAGACTGGTGACAAGGACACCCTCACGGGGTGCTGTGAGGATTAGATGAGACAATCTATAAAGATCGTAACTGCATTCTGTGTGTCCTCTGACTTTTTTCATCACATCAGTGGCTGAGCTCAGTAACCTGGTACTTTAAAAGCTGAGCATACTCCAGATGCTAAAAGCTGATCATGATAATTGTAGTGGGTGTGCACGGAATGTTCAGTACTGAAAGAATGAATGCACATGAGATGGTATGACTGCCTATGGAAGTGCAGAGCTGTCCTAGACTGCCAGCTACTCGTGGGATTGGAGGTCAGAGCAGATTAGCGGGGGCCAGGGAACAGCGGTGTGTGGCTCACAAGCCACATTCCTTTTCCTCTACCGCCACAGGTAAAAACGTGCTTGAGGTTTCAGAGTGCCTTTGTAATACAATTTAAAAGCAGGCATGCTAATAAAGTCTGTCCTGAGGAGAGTGGGTTGAAGGACAAACGGAGCATTACAGAAGAACAGCCCAGTGAGGGCACAGGAATGGGGCCCCAGGTACAGTGACTGTGACTGCGCTGAAGTCAAGTGTTTCTAGGTAGATTCTTGAAAGGTTCTTGCTGATGCACAGCTCCTCGCTCTCCCTGTTGCTGTTGCTGTCTGTCTCTGTGTCTCTGTCTGTCTCTCTCTCCTGTTGGAAAGATGTCTTCCTTACCTCAACAGCCTGGCCTACCACAACCTCAAAACTTTCTTGTTTGTCTAGCTGTGGAATTAGTATTTCTGCCTAGAAAGGACATGAAGCCTGGCATTTGCTTACTGCCAACTCAGAGAGGACCCATACCTAGCACCTAATCATCAATTTTACTGGTGGTGGACTTGGCCTCTCTCCTGGTTGCCAGATCATATACGTACAGTTTCTTCATTCACTCTAGAATATACCAGGACTCTAGAGCCCCAGTCTTCCTGACACCTTCCTGCAGAAACGGTTTTCCACTCTAGAACTAACTGGCATGGGGAGGGCCCCTGGTAACTTCTGGGACTTTAGGGTACGAATGCTTGGGAAATAGATTCATAGGCTGCTGGCCATTTCCTTGGAGTTCTTTACCCCCCCCCTTTTTTTTTTTTAAATTTTGTGGAATAAAGGCTGGGAAATAAGACAGAAACGTGTATTCTTTACTCTTTTCTGTATTTCTCTTTTGAATGTATTCTCATACCTATTCCCACTTTTGATTTAGTGATTTTTAGAAAAGAAACTGTTTAGCAAGGTAAGGGGCACTGAAGAAATCAGCCAGACTTCTGTATGAACCATATCATTTGAGCCAGGACAGAAAAGGGAAAGGGTTTCTTCAGGAAGAGTAGGAATGGAGCCTGTAACTTAATTTGTACCTAAGTAAAACAGAATGGAAGGGCTTGGCTAACAGGCCCAGGACCTCGGAGCAAGCTTGTGAGAACCACTTGGGCATAGCACAAGACAGCATTGATATTTCAGCTTGCCTTGAAGGAGTCAACTTCGTGTATTTTGCTCCTGATGTCCACCATCAGTTGGAATATAGACTCATACTCATATGTATTTCTTTATATTATGGGCAGCAGAGGCACCCTGTAGGATTTGAGTTTCTGTGTGTTTTCCCTCCAGGATCGTGACAACCCCCCCTCCCCCCCCATTAAGTCCCATCCCTCCCTAGGGACTTGGTGTTTATGTCTCTTTGTGGTGTCCCTCAGCTTTGACTGAGAACATGGTCATTGGAACTCCTGGGGCCAGGGTGAGAGCTGATTTAGTTTCCAGTCAGCTTTGGCCTTGGAAAATGAGGGCAGGCTGGATGAAAGATTGGCCAGAAGTATGTGTCTTTGGCATTCTGCTGCCAGTGTTCCCTCAGGGATGTACCTCAGTTAACCGGACACTGCTATACCTCATCTCTCTGTGGTGGCAGAGTAGAGTGCCTTTGTTCAGCTGGGCACCTGAACTCCAGGGCAAGCCCTGCCCTCTTCTTCTAGCTCCTTTGTCTGAAGTAGTCATGTGAGCCTGGATCTTCTCCAGATTGCTGTCTTCTGCGATCAGTCTCAAGGCTTTAGATCGGTCCTCACTCTTCTGTCTCTGGCTAGGCCTTCCCCTTCCCCTTGCATCTCTTTCTTTTTAAAATATGTGTATGGGTGGTTTACCTACATGTATGTGTGTGCATACCTGCTGCCTGTAGTCAGAAGAAGGCATCAGAACCCCGTTGGAACTGCCACTGTGAGCTGTCATACCAGTGCTGCTAATCAACCCCAGGTCCTCTGAAAAACAACCAGTGCTTCTAACTGTTGAGCCATCTCCATCCCCAGCACCATCTTTCATGCAGGCTCCTATTACCTCACACACAGACACCTCCACAGTGGGCTTCTGGCTGTGATGCTAACAGCGGTCAAGTTTTAGCTATATGTCCCTATGTCTCATTCTAGATCCCACTCACTTCTCCACTGTTTCCTTTATGCCTCCAGGATAGATCAAAACCAGGTGCTAAATACCCATCTCACTCAGACACCAGTCTATCTCTCCAAATCCATCTGCTGTTGTCCTGACAAGAGTTCAGCTATGGTCAGCATCTACATCCTCCCCTGTGTTCCCTGCAATTTGGTCCTGCTTCAGCTCATCTCAGGATTGTACTTCAAACCATCTCTGGTCCTGTGGGAGATAGGTAACTCATAAATCTTAAATAAAAATAGATCCAGTCTGTTCCCTCACCCCAAGGTGAGGTCCCTTGCCCTGATATTTCAGCCCCCCTTGGGCCTCTCTCCTGTATAAAGATCACATCCACCACTGGGAGTGCCTTTCCCTGAGTCGGTGACATTTGATTGGTGGGGTCACAGCTGCCTTCTGTGAGCAGTTAGCTTTTCTGGCCTTGCCCCATGGCACGCTGGTGTTTTCAAAAACAAGCAGTAGTTAGTTCTGTATTGCGTGTTCATCTTAGGCATTCATCAGATAGTTCTGGCTATTTACCATGGCCTATAGAATCCTTAGTTTAGCAGATTTGACCAGAAATTCTAGGATTATTTTATCAAGCTAATTAGGTTTCTAAAAGGCTGGTTAGTTGTTCATCCTGGATCATTTATAGGAAGATGATCCTAGCATCCAGCCAAGAGGGCACCCTCCATGGTCCAAGCCCTTTCCTGGGATCTCAACAGAACAGAAGGTACTCACTCAGTGAGCACAAAGTTAACCAAAAGACATCGATATGTCCAAGCACAACATCTGCTGTAGAGGAAATTTTTGTCTTTAAAGAACCTGACTTCCAAAACCCAGAATCCTCAACTCCTTTATCGGTGGTAAATCAGAATCTTATTTCTAGATGTCATCATGACCACTGTCAATTATCCTTATAAGGCCTTTATTTTGGTATGTTTCCTATATCAAGGTTGCAAATTTTGGATATTCTCATTAATTATACTTTAGGTTGGTAATTTTGGAGTCAGAAATCAGATGATTTGTTAAAATCCAAATCTGTAGATTTTTAAGGTTTCTTTTCCTTAAGATCTGTAAGTCTCTACAACATAATACTCCTACTTGGGCAATGGGAAATGACTAGGTCTCAAAATCAAGATTCTGTTTAATTAAATAATTAATTAATTAATTAATTTTGGTCTTTCGAGACAAGGTTTCTCTGTGTAGCTTTGGAGCCTATCCTGGCACTCGCTCTGGAGACCAGGCTGGCCTCGAACTCACAGAGATCCGCCTGCCTCTGCCTCCCGAGTGCTGGGATTAAAGGCGTGTGCCACCAACGCCCGGCTTTAGTTTTTTCTTTTTTTCTTTCTTTTTTTTTCTGTTTAATTTAGGAGTCCAGAGTAGTATTTGTTCAGTTATTAATGAATCAGTGGTACTCTGGGTGTGTAAGCAATGCTATTTTTAAACCTATTGCTGACTTCAGTGATAAAGAGGGTACAGAATGTGCCTTGCTGGACTTGAGAGCATACCATGAGTAATATCCATTACTACTATGATGTCAGAACTTGAATATTCTTTACCAAAAGATAACCATTGCATCATGGAGCTGAGGAATGCAACTGCAGCAGGATGAGAAAGGCTCATTCCTCTCATAAGGAACACCAGTACAGGATAAAAACAGATAATCCCCAGGGAACTCAGGCCTGTGATCAGCAGTGTCCAATCCCCGTGACCAGTTCGAAAGACAGCTTCTTCTTTTAGTCACCGGAAGGTGATTGCTTCAAAGTTTCCAGGAAAAACTGAAGGCATTTTATATACATAATCCTGTACCTTCCACTTGTTCAGAAAACCTACTAGGTGGTCATTGGTGTGTGTATACTTGAAGTCACTACCATTTGTAATGACCACTGCTATTCCATTATTTATACCTTAACCTCATTGAAGCATTCCTACATTAAAATAAGGAAAAAGGGGATTGAAGTACTTAGAAGTTTTAAAGTCATCCTTACAAAGGTGTGCTCTGGTTTTGATGGGTAAGCATCTGGTGCATCAAGACATAATCACATTCACACCATGCTGTGTCTTGGGCTACTGAGGTCTTTGCTTCCTTCAACACACCTTCAGTTCCCCAGGCCAAAAGCCCGTCCGCCCTTACAAAGGGAAAGAGGACAAATTGTCACACTGGTTTCAAAGTTCTGGGCCAGAAGCAACATCTGTGTTGGAGACTCAAAAGTGATTTAAAACAAGCCCTTGGAGCCCAGAGCACAGACAAATTGGAGTTTACTGATCTTACCAGAGGCCGTTCCATCCGCCACATCAGTACACGTGACCACCACCAGACATCTCCGCCATGACCTGAGAGGAAGACCCCAATTGCAGGGACCCGAGTGAGAATAGGCACCTCTGACAGGAAATGCAGAAGTGGCTTAGCAAATGGAGCTTCTGAGTAACAACATCAGGGGGCAGGTTCAGTGACAGTGACTCCTAGTATAGTAATGTCCTTGCTAAAGACCACAGAACATGGACTGTCGGACGTATGGCCAAGGGATCCCAGCTGACTTCCATACACACACACACACACACACACACACACACACACACACTCACATATTGCATTATTGTACTTAATAGCTCCAAAATGCCATGGCAATGTTTCCAGTTATTCTGAATGTGTTCCTGATGTGGGGCTTTTTTGTTTGTTTGCTTTTTGAGGCACAGGTTGAACTCACAGATCCTCCTGCCTCTGCCTCCCGAGTGCTGAGATTAAAGGCGTGAGCCACCACCACCCAGCTGATATGGGGCTTCTTATTTTCTCACCTTCTTTTCTGTTTTTCTCCTTCCCTAACTTTCCCTCTATCCTCTCATTGCTCCTGCTCATCCTCCTTTCAGTCATAGCACAGAGCTGACTTCCTCGGCTTCTCCAAAGCAACCTCTAACTCAGTTTAGTTGAAAGCAGCTGAGGAGAATGGCAGAGCTCTCCAGAGAATAACAACTGGAAGGTAGAGCTGCTGTAGCAAACAGGCCTCCACTCAGGGGAAGAGGTCCTGTGTGTTTCCCATCGTCTGCTTCACTGTGCCTAAGAACACCCTTCACAAAGTTCTGTGAGCACTGAGCTGGCAGCATCTGAGAAAGTGTTCAGGTGCGAGTAAAGGTGAGGACAAGAGGCAGTAAGCTGGTGTGGCACTGACAGCAGATCCTGTGTTCTGGTCCCTTTTCCACTACAGCAAGGTTCAGAAAGGCAAGGTGGTAGTCTTGATGTCTATGCTCTTGGTATCCCCAGTGAGGACAAAGTGAAGTTTGATGTGGCTTGGTGTTGTTCTGAAGGCAGCCTCAGTCATGATACATGAGAGTATTTGCATCCAGGAGGAGCTGTTCATCATCCTGGTAGGATGGGAGTCGCCATGTGGGAGGAAAGCTGTGGGTGCCTCTGAAGCTCTTCAGTCTACAGGTGACAAATAGGCTGTGAGGCCATGAGGACAATTGTCCTTTGGCCTAAGTGACTTTGCCATAGCTAAAAATACTTTGTCATAGTTTGAGTGTAGACGTGTTTGTTTTCAGTGAAATACCTCCTGGATTGTAGTATGGAGTGTATTTGTTTCCTAGGGCTACTGTAACAAAGTAGCACACATCAGGTGGCTGAGAACCACAGAAACTTCTTAAGCTTCTGCAACTCTGAAGCCAGAGGTGGAAAATAAAGGTGTCAACAAGTAGAATTCCTTTTCTTCTCTTCCTAGGGTCTGGTGGGCCCTGTGGCCTTTGGTGCATCTTGGTTTGCAGCTTCATTCAGTTTCTGCCTGTGTCATCATGTGGGATTTCCTCCTCTTATAAAGGACTCACCCTGATGACCTCATCTTAATTTGATTACACCTGTAAATACCCTGTTTCCAAAGAAGGCCACATTCATAAATAGCTGCTGGGGGCTAGGAGTTCAACACACCCTTTTGATGAAAAGGTCATAATGGAAAGAATTTACCACAGTGCAAGACCCTACAGTCTGTTTCTAAGTGTCAGATTATCTGTATAAGCTTAAAAAGACAACTCAGTAGTGGGTTGGGCATGGAATAAGCAAACATTTGGGGATATCTGAATTTCTTCATGGGGAAATAAGAGCCCACTAGCTTATGAGTCTCAGTTGATGCTTTATAAGATACTTCTAAGGGATAGCATAATTCTTGTGAGGTTGACTCACCAGGCAACTACTCAGCCTCCTCGGTGATTGCTAAAGTCCGGCTTGTTGAGGTGGTCACTAAGGACTGAGAGGTGGTGGCACACAGAGGACGACGATACGCCTGCCAGTGGCAAGGAGGGGCTGAAGGGGTCAGGGAGGAAACTTATAAAGATAGGTGACTAAACACCTGAAACTAGCCTGCTGCAAGGCTGCTCATTCTAACTTAGAAAATATTCTGGAGCCAAAGCTGTATGGAGTTTGGGGGCCAGTACTTAGATTTCATCTGTTTTGAGGTCAGAATTGTAGCAGCTATTGTTTTTACAGTTTGTGGGTATTTGCTGCTTTTTGTTTGATTGATAGGTTATCTTTTTGAGATCTTTCCTTAGAAACAAATACAAGGCTTGAAAGAAAATTACTAGCCTTTGAACAAAAAGGACAATTTAGGTAACAGGTGAGAATTCACTAACAGAGGCTCATTGTCATTAACACCAAAGTGGGCATGAGGAGGGAGGGGCTCTCCCAGCCTGCATCCATTCCCACCCAGCTATTACAGCTGTCCATGCAGACTTGTTCCACACACTCAGGCAGAACGCAAAACCTCATGTTGGCGTTATCAACCTTCCACTTGCAGATACCCAGGTGGCGCAGGTGTTCTTCATGTGCACAGATACATCCCTGTATGGCCTCTGCTGGAAGCACAATGGCGAACTTCGCAGAACTTAGTTTAATGTAACTACTTTGCTTCTGCTTGTTTCCGTATGTGTGATGAAAATACACTTGAAGGTTATTTAAGGTAGGATTTAGGGAAAGCACCAAATGAAGCATCTTACCTTGAAGGAGAAAAAGCAAGGGGGGGGGTATCTTTTTTTAATGTCATGACATCCTGACAAATTATACTTTATTAAAATGTTTCTGGCCTTCTTAAACTTACTGTTACAGTATGAATTATGTGCCCCCAAATTGGTATGTAGAATTCCTGACCCTTAGAACCTCAGAATATGACCTTGTTTAGAGATGGAACTTTACAGAGATTATCAAATTGCAGTGACTTCATTACGGTGCATGGTAATCAAGGATGACAGGCGCCT